CTACCACAGGGCATGCACGGGGCCCACTCTGACATCCAGAGCAGCGGACGAAGACCCAGAAAAGCCCCACAGCCAGCGATGGCTGGTTCTGACAGGGCACCAACAACCTCTGGTAGAAAACAGCCTCTTCAACAAGTAGTGCTGAGAAACTGAGAGTTCTGCATGTGCCGATAAACAGAACTAGCCTCCTCTCTCTCACCCTTAACAAAAATTAGCTCAAAATAGATGGAAGATTTTAATACAAGACTTGAAATTTTGGAACCACCACAAGAAAATACAGGAAAACCCTTTAAGATATAGGCATTTATAATTTAAAAAAAACTCTAATGGCTCAGCAAATAATAAGGAATAACAAATGAAACTGTATCATATTACAAAGCCCACAAGTGGCTCATACCTGTAATCCCAGCTACTCAGGAGCCTCAGATCTGAGAATTGTGGTTCAAAGACAGCCTGGGCAGGAAAATCCATGACATTCTTATTATAATGATCCACCAAAAAGCTGGAAGTGGAGCTGTGGCTCAAGTGGTAGAGCACTAGCCATGTGCAAAAAAGCTCACGGACAGTGTTCAAGCCCCAGGTCCAGCACAAAATAATAAACTTCATGTGATTCTGCTATGCCACTCTTGGGCATACATCTTAGGGAATGAGTCAGCACATGATTGAGATGCCTGTACACCAGGTCTTCTACATTACTACCCACAATGGCTATACAATGCAATCAGCCCATCTGAAAATCAGCCAGTGAACAGGTAAAGGAAGCACGGTGTACGTACACCATGGGGTATTCCTTAGCTGTAATGAGGAACAAAATGAAGTCATTTGCAGGAAAATGGATGGAACTAGAAATGCCATTATGTAAAGTAAAATAAGCTAGACTGAGAAAGAAAAATATCACATTCTCTCATATGTAGAGAGAGTGTCTCACACTTACAATTCTAGTTAATCAGGAGATTGGGATCTAATGGTGCTGGTCCTGGTTCAAAGCCAGCTGGGTAGGAAAGTCCATGTGACTCTTATTTCCAATCAACCACCAAAATGCTGGTAATGGAGCTCTGACTCAAGTGATAGCTGCAGCCCTGTGCAAAAAAGCTAAAGAATAGGGTCCAGGTGCTGCATTTGAGTCCTGATGCATGCATGAGTGTGTGTGAGTGCACATACACACACAGCAAGACTGTAAAACAGGTGCTGTTTGGATGTGAGGACCAGTGGGAGAGGAGGGTAACTGGGTAAGGGGTGAAGGGGCAGAAATATTCTACAGACATGAAAGGTTAAGAAACAGTTGAATTTGAGCAGGGCTAGTAACTGAATCTCTAGTCTGGTGCACTGAACACATTTCTATTTTAAATAACAGGTTGTTGTGGCTCATTTCTGTCTCCATTTGAAAGTGGGGGAGACCCTCAGCAGTGAAATAAAATCAGGTCAATCACATCTCAACAAGTCATTCAGGAAAGACTGTATGACGGCACTTTGGGCTCTTGTGGACACCAGTGTGCAACACTGGCACTTGTACAAACTAGCCATGACAACGCTCAGATGCAGCTCCAAACAATTTGTTCATCAAGAATCTCTCTGAGGTGTTTCCATTCTCCCAAGTGGTTCCTCAAGGCCCCCCTTAAACCATGCAAGGGGCCTCGAGAGGTCGTCATATTGATGGCAAAGTGTCCACAGCAGCTCAAGGGCGAGGCCTGCACAATCCAGCAACACCACCGCCTCCAGGCAGTGTTTGTAACCTTTTAGAAAGCATTTTCTTGGAGTTTATGCTGATCATTTTTATATAGATAGTATACATTTTTCCTTCATTTGAAAATGATTAATTTATATCGTAAAACAGGTATAGATTTTCACAAACCAAAATATCCATTTAAAATCAAATTTAATTCAATCCAAAACATGAAAGAAAAGAATAAAATTATTCCCACTAGAAAATCTGACATTACTGAGGGAATTAAATAAAATTCCAGAGTTTTTTCCCCTATTTTTATCTCTTAGTCACTCTAACATAAATAGTCCTAAGATTTCAAAAACATGTATGCAGAACTAATAATGCAAAACTAATGTAGGATAAAAGGAAACCACATAATCACCACCACCTACTGCCTCCCAACCACAGCCCCAGCATCGACAACCAGCAGCAAAACTAATGTAGGATAAAAGGAAACCACATAATCACCACCACCTACTGCCTCCCAACCACAGCCCCAGCATCGACAACCAGCAGCAAAGTAGCCTCGTCAATCTGGAAGAGAGACATTGCATCCTAAACTGCACACAGCCATTCTGTAGTTAGAGAAGCTAAGCTATGCCATGCCTCCCCCACCACACACACACACTATAAGCAGAATCCTACAACCAGAAATTACAAGCAAACAACACTCATCTAATCTTGCCTTTGCCCTTGATATTCATAGTATTTGAAGGCATCAAAAAGACATTCTCAAAAACAAAAAACAAAAACCAGACATTCTTATGAAAAAGAAGAGACCCTACAAGGGCTGAAGTGGTGAAGCAGAATGTGATTCTCTTAGAAAAGTTTAGTCTCTAGAACTTGCTATCCTGCAGAACTGCATACTATGTGCAGAAGCACCAACCACAGCAGCCATACTTAAGTGCAGCCAGTCCAAATGGACTTTGTACAAAATACATGCCAAATTTAACTAAGATGGCAAACTATTGTATTAATAAAGTTCATGTTAATTACATGTTGAAATGGCAATATTATAGATATATCGAGAAAAGCATTAAAATACATTATGAAAGAATTTCCCCTATTTTCTTCAATGTAGCCACTAAAAATGTAAATAAGGCTACATTTATGTCTTGTGCTGTATTTCTTTGGCATAGCTACTTAGACATTCTAATGTGAAGTATAGCTTGTAGAAAATTCCATTACATTACTTGGCTGAGAACTGGCAAAAAAATAACACCAAAACACCAAATCTCTATTACACAGCCTAAGACAGTCCTCAAGTGTATATCCTGCTGGATATTTGACACCTGCACAGCAGTGAGAGGTGTAACTCTGAAGGTAAAAAGTGACCAGAAGGGAGGATATTGTAGGACATACTCTAAAAGCAGGAACTCAAGCTGACTCTAGCTCCATTTGTTTTCTGGTTCATGTGTGCAGTTCTTACTTCAGAAAGCTCTATTTTCCTGACAGAAGTTACAGGAAAATCCATTAACAACTGAGACCATGCATTAACCAAAGAAATGACAACGTGATCTGAAGTCCAGCTAGCTGATCAATGGAAGGAAGGAGGAGATAGCATGAGCAGTTAAAATCTTCCCCATGACCCAGTCTCTCCTTGCTCTGTATCTCCTCTCCCTCACTCCCTCCTCATTCCCTTTCCTTCTTCTCCTCAGGTTGCCAGTTGCTGAGTATTTCCCATCCACAGACTCCTCCCCACAGCAACTGGCATCTGAGTATTTCCTGTCCACAGACTCCTCCCCACAGCAACTGGCATCTCTGAGTATTTCCTGTCCACAGACTCCTTCCCACAGCAGTTGCATCTAGTATTTCCCATCCATAGACTCCTCCCCACAGCAGTTGCATTTCAGTATTTTCCATCCATAGACTCCTCCTCACAGCAGTTGGCATCTCTGAGTATTTCCCATCCACAGACTCCTCCCCACAGCAGTTAGTGTCTCTGGCACACCTGGTTTCTCTTTCTCTTTTGTGGCTGCTTTTGCTGTGTACTTCTTTTTTTAAAAAAAAAAAAAAAAGTCGTATCAAATGTTCATGAAGTAGACTTGTACTATGTTTTAATGTTTCTTAACATTTTTTGACTTCTTTATAAACAAGATGCAAGAAGGATTTTTTTTGAAGCATTCAAGAACATGAAAGTGCTTTTTTGCTTCTCTAAGACCCTTGGTTGGGTTGTTGTTTCCGTTCTGTCTTTCAGAGTTGGTGGCCTTTCCCTTTGGGCACTTCTCTGGTCTAGCCAATGAGATTCAAACCAAGCAACATCCATCTCAATCACTGGGATGGGCTCTAGGCTGGCCCAGACCAGTCAGCTCTGGGGGCTGAGGAGTTCTGATACAAAGGGGAGGCCTGGCCGATCTGTAGTCCCAGACTTGCACACATGTCCTTCAGAACTGCTTAAGTCCATGAACCTACCAAACAGTGTGTTTTGGTTTTTTAAAAAAATAAAAGTTAATGAAGCAAATGTTGAATTATTGCCTTTAATGTCTGAAAAAAGGAAATATTGAAGGACACGATTGGCATGATTAATGAAAAGTACGTTTCCAAGTGGTTTTCACAGAACCCCTCTCAGGCTAGGATGACATTTTATATTAAGAGTTTCTTGGAATGCATTTCCAAAAATAGTTCAGTAGAGAGTCATTTCTGGCTAAAAAAAGAGAAAAGAAAAACAACCCGTAGCCATCCAACTCACATGTACTGGTCACATATAAACAAGATACACAGTAGTTTTATATTCTGCTAAAAAGTGATAATGTGGTTAAATAACTGAATGTTGGTTAAGTACCAAATATTTTTAGTTAGGGAAAAGTTACAAGAAGTATAAACTAGATCTCTGGTGGCTTCCAGCTAGCACTCTTTCTGATCACTGCTTGTATTTATAAGGAGGTAGATTTCCAAAGCAATGGTATAAATCCATACAACTGTCTGTCAGGAATTAGATTGTTAATATATTGGACCAAGACTCAGGTACTACATCTAGTTACAGTCAACTCCTATTTCAATTGGGCTAACAAATCAAAACACACGTTTTTGTTTTCTCACAGCTATGAACTCACAGAGCTTTTAGCAAATGTTTAACATGCATTCTTGCTATTATAGCATCTCTAATGTGCAAGATATTAAGCCAAAGAAAGAACATTTCTGGACTAGAATAGACAATACCTTTATTCAGAAACCGATGAAGTAATTAAAAAAATAATCACAGCAGAAGTTATTAGCATAAAAATCAATGTTACCAACAGTCATATGCATGCCAAAAGATAAATGCACAGAGAATGAGAATAATTACCAATCATACCTTATTATGTGTCTGAGTCTGTCCAACCAGTATCAGGATGTTGGAAGAGATGATAGACAGGCAGAAGTTAATCAGAATTATGGACCTCTCAGAGCGTATATACCTAACCAGAGAGAGAAAGAGAGCTCAATGTCAGTTGAAAAATTCTGTATTGTGTAACTGGTGGATCTTATCTGGACAAGAGTTTATAGCAGTAACAATAGGGGAAATTCTGTTTTCAGAAGAATATTTCTTGGGTATCCAGTTTTAAAGTGCATGACAAGAGGTTCTTAAGCTTAATTTTCCCTAGCAAATAGATTAGATTATAGTATGGCATTTCATAGCTGACACGGCCTATTACACAGCTGATCATGGTTAAGATTTTTTATTAGAAAGCTAAAACTTCTTGGAAATACATCAATTAATTACATACATACATATGTATACATACATATAAATATATGTATAAAGGAGATCTAGTATTTTCATATGCACTTACCAATCAAACCCTGAGAACATAAAGTCAAACCCACATAGATTCTGAGGTGCCACTCTTGTGCATGAGGAGACTGTTGTTAATTTTGTGACACTGCAAACACCATCAGCTATTCAGGGATTTTCATGAGGCCAGCACATTACTAGAAATTATGTAACTGGAAACATGTTAACACAAAAATTCAGACACACACGCACACACACACACACACACACACAGATGCTCTTATCTCTAAAGTTGAATCCATTCTATAAATGATAGCTCACCGCAGAGTTGAGCACTCTTAGTGTCTTCCACATTTCACCCTGATGAAAAAGTACTTACTCTGTTGTACAATTTTAAAGTGCACCAGGGCTGTGCACTGTAGAGAAAACTACTCAGAATCCAAGGTCTACCAGCTGCTCATCCTGGCAGGGTGCTGTTTGACTCCCCTGCAGTAAACCACTAAGTGACAGTAACTATAGAGAACATGTGCTTGCTGTGTTCAGCCAGTTCAGTTTGTGTTAGAACACAGAATCACACGTACACACACACACACACACACACACACACACACAGGTGTGGGCTTCCTCTACAATGCAGATGGTGGAGACAAAGGTTTGGAGGCACTCTTGGGAGAATGAATGAATCAAAGTGTGCATGCTCTCTCTGTGTCTCTATTTTTTGTTCCCCTCCTTTCTCTGTCCCATGCTGTCACTGGAAAATATCCAGACAGAAGTTTTCTATTCCATCACAGATTTCAGAAATGAAAGCATTCCCCATCAGATTTTTTCTTATCAAAATACAGAAAAGATTTTTAAAATACAAAATAAATTTTCTCTCTTCACAAAAGAAACCCAAGGAGGACTGGCTTAGGCCAGCTCTTGAGTCAATGCTGCACTACTAAAAGCTGCATAGGAATGAAAAACTTCTGAGACACACCTGTGCTAACAAGCCACCATGTGCACACACAGCATGGGCTTTTTGGGCTCTTTGGTACAAACATGGAAACTCCTAATAACTCTGACAATTTAAATATCCTTAATAATTCCTACCCTGAAAACAGTAAACTCTCATAATGAAGAACAATTATTTTAATATTAAAATTAATTATAAAATTAATTTAGAAATTCTTAACTGAATTTAAAATTCTTAAATAAGGCATAAAGACTGTCAGGTTTTTCCAGATAGGAACATCACCTTTTGGAACAATAATAATGTAAATATTCAGAATAATTATCCATGTACTAATATAATACCTGCATCATTAGATGGATATAAAATGCTTAACATTTAAAGTGTCAAAGCTATTGGAAGTCTGGACATACAGTTTTACCTCCATTATCAATATATGAGTAGGCATCAGAAACCTCAGAGGCCTAAGTCTAACGAAATCACTAGAAAACTTATATTTTCACAGGTTCTAGAAAAGAAGCTATTTCAAATACCTCAGAAACAAACAAACAAAAAAAATCAATTATTTCATCAGGTTTACGAGTTTTGTGGCTTCTTTAAACAAATTTGTCAAATCTGCTTCACTGCAAACAACCAAGAGGCTTTTCCTGGGCCATGGTCGATTGTGGTGGGAGGGCCTTTTCTGGGACCCACTGAAAATGCACGGAGGCCACATTTCTATGGGAGAGAAACCAACAGTACTCTTGGACTCCATAGCAACGTAGATTAGCAGAAACCATGTGCAGACTGAAGGTGAATTACACAGGCGCCATCCTTAGCGGTACGCAACTTGCTGAAGGCTACCATCCCACCGCGCGGGAGCTTGGAACCAAAGTATATGTGAACTGATGTGTGCCCCAGACCAATGCAGGGCGCAGTGTTGGGTGCTATGGTAATAAGCAGGCGGAAGGCCCTGTCGCCCCCACTGGTGTGGTGTGGGCAGCTGCGGCCGGCTGGGGGTCACCCACCTCCACAGTGCTGCGTAGACCACCGCCAAGGTGATCAGGGCCAGGCAGGAGAGGCCGCTGCCCACGATCAGAGTCACCGAGGGCGTGCCAGAGGATTCCATGATCTGCAAATGACACACAGCAGACAAGAGAAGGGGAAGAAAGCATTACTGGGAGATGAATTTAAATGATGTCTAGACTCAGCAAAGCCAAGTTCTCACTCAAAAATGTCCTCGCTAGTTGTTCTAGGTTACCAGATGCTAACCCACAGACGGCCTCAGTTCACCAGCTCAGGCGCCCACGTGACTAACACCAGCTACTCCCTCGCTCCCCCTCTGAGTCTACAATCCTTGGCTATGATTCACTGCCTGGGTCGAGCTCTCTAAAATAAACACTCCAACTTGGTCAGCATTCATCTGTTCAATTTTGTACAGCTGAAAACCGAAGTAACATTTATTTTTCTTCAACTAAGTGAAGTTCAGACGTTTCACAGTTTGATTCTTGGCAAAGTTTATCTTGGTATGTGCATTGACAAGTCTTCTATCACCCAACTCTTGCATGTAGATATTAAAAGATTCTCAAACTTTCTGACTTTCCACAAGTTTGTTCTGAGCCCACTATTCTCACAATAAATTTTGCTTACTCGGACTCTAAATATTCTGTAGAAATACAATGCTATAACTTAAGACTTTCAGCTTTAATTTCTGATTTGTTTTTCTATAAGCAAAATATGTGGAGATAATTTCTATGATGCCAATACCAGTCTCCCCAAACGTGACCTTGAAGACTAAGCCTTCCGTCTTTAAAAGCGCATATACGGACCTAAAAGGTTCCTTTGCTCAGACACTCACGTGATGGGAACTAATGAAATTTTTTCTTGTATTGGAATTCTGAAGGGATACCCTAGAATATTCAATATGTCCCAGAGGCTTAGATAGGGGTACCGAATGAAGACAGAAAATCCCCTCTTCTCATATTGTTCCAAAATGCTTTGGGCGAGGCCATTGTCTCTTTCGGGAACTCCTGCTGCACACCCTGCACACTTTTAGGGCGCGGCGTCGCGGTTCCAGACAGCCCTGCTTCCCTGCGAACTTCCGCTGGTTAAAAATATAGCTCTGTCTCCAAGGATACCCTCGGAAAGCCCGCGCCGAGTCTCCGGTGCCGGGACGCGCTGGGCTGAGCTGGGCTGCGGTGCCCGGGGTCTTCGCCCCGCCGCCGGCACCATACCCCCGGGCAGCCCCCCAAGGAGAGGTGAAGTTGGCGTTCTTTGTATCTGAAACTTGCAGCCATCAGGAAGGGCAGGCGTGCATCTTGCAGCCGGGCTGCAGGGGCGCCCGGAGGGGGGGGCGTGCAGCAGAGGGGGCGACTGGGGGATCGGCACCCCAGCTAGAGCGCACTTCCCGAAGCCCCGTGGCTGGGGAGGCCGCCCGCGGGCGCTGCGGCCCGGGCCTGGCGAAGGCCGAGCCAGGCCCCCAGGCCCCCAGCCCCCGGCCCCTGGCCCCCAGCACCCGCTTCCCTTTGTTACTCACTATTTCTCTGGGTTGCTGAGCCAAGATGGCGAAGGTGGAGAGGCGATCACACAGGCATTTCGTGTGGGACGCATCGGTGAGCACCGTCCGGCATCCCCGCGTGGACCACGCTCCCGACGACTGGTTCCTGCGGGCAGAGGGCAGACGGTGAGCCGGCGGCGTCCGGCCGGGACCGATCCGAAGCGGGCGTCGCCGTGGAGCCCGGCCGACCGAGCTGGGGACGGCGTGCGGAGCTGTCCAGCGCCCGCGGTGCTGAAGCC